TCAATCAAGTGTTCCTCCTTGCAAGGATAAACAGGATGTTTAGAGACTCTGGGTATGATGACCGGTCTTTGACAGCTGTTGTGACACACCACACGCTGGCTTTGCCATGTATGCAAGCGCTGGCACAGCTCGAGCTGCAGCAGGCTCTCTTCGTTTGAGGAGATGACCCAAGAGGCCTTCACCAGCTCCGTGTTTTCAGCACAGGCTCACAAGAAATGAGCCCCACGATCCAGAAAAGCTCCTCGGCCTCTCCCTCCCCTTACTAGGACATCACCTGCCCACCTTCCCTTCCTAATGGGCTCATTCTGCTTGCCTGGCTACACTAAACTATGCTCTGAGAAACTTTTCTTTTTCAGGTACACGCATTTTGACAACAGTCAAAATACTTCTAAACCACGTCGATTCAACAGAGGGAGTTTCCCAAGCCTTTTCTTTTGTCTGTTTCAGGAAAGTTTTCCATGTCTTGAACCACTGACATTGCTCTGAATCCTAAACTAAGAATCTGCGAAAACAAAATGTAGATAGAACTAATGAGGGGCCAGATCTCAAGCAAGACCGACCTACCCAGAACAGTGTGTGTAGCCTCAGGATGTTCTCTAAAGTCCCGAACACCACAGAAGGAAATGCAGTGCCTATTTCTTCTCATTCGCAGCATCTACCACCAGCTGAAGGCAAGAAAGGTTAAGAGACTGACAAGCAGTCCTGGTTTGTTATTAAAAGCAATTAGTTTTGCACTAGGCCCTAGTTACTGCGTTCTCAGGCCACAGAGTAAGTGATGGGAGATCTGTCTCCTAAACTGTGCGAGCTGGGTGTGTCCACAACAGCAGCACACACTCTGATAAGCCGCACTGTGCACAAAGAGCTAAATTCTGCCAAAGAGCTGTAAATCACTCTAAAAGAAAAGGCTCAGCCAGGATGTCATCTCAGCTCGTCTAAAACCTTCTTCGTTTAAAGAAAACAGTTACAAAAACTACCTCTCTTCTCTACAAACACAATTGCCAAATAGTAACACTCTTTTTTTTTCCCCTCCTTCCACTACAACCACTTTAAGAAATTCATAGGACAGGCGACAAGGCGTTGCTGATTTTCACGCTGTTTGGGCACAGCTTATCCAAGGAAACTTCCTTCGTCCTGCAACGTTTGTCAAGTTCGAGCCTTGAAATCCATTCCAGGTAACGTTCAACCGCAAGCTCCTGGCCTACGCACAGAAACTACAGCGTGAAATTTTATGGTCTGTGTTATTCAGGAGGTCAAAAGGGATTATCACAATGTTCCTTTTTAGCTGTGGTACCTAGGAGCCTTGGCATATAAGCCATTCTCAGACAACTGTTTTAAATTGGACTCTGAGCAGTCCTTGAACTCTACCTCAGGAGAAAGCGGCATTGTCAAGATAACGGTTTTACAGCTTTCAGTCCCCCTAGCAAAAAGAGTGCTTGCTTTGTGTACCTTGCCCTGTTTCACGCACCAAGCAGACGTCCTCTCTCCAACCCCTGCCACTCTGCAAGCCGTTCCACAAACACTCCAGAGCTGAAGAAGCAATAGTTTGTCCTACAACCTGAAAATTCAGGCAAGAAAAATAATTCTCCTGAAAAAAAACAAAAAGCAACTTTGATGTCACTGGGATAACCTGGATGGAGTGGGAATTTCCCAGCATGAAGACATTTTCCACAGTAAGATGGCCTTGGATAAAGTAAGCAAAATCTTCCTACTGTTTCATTCATTTGGAAGAGCGCGTCAACAGCAGAACAAATAGTTTAATACCTCTTTCTGTCACCAAATGCAGAAGTTGAGTGTCCCAGTATGGGAGCAGGTGTCACAAAACTCTGAATTACCCATTCTGAGGCACGTTCAGCCCAGAAAGTGAGCCACCTACCCTCCCCACGACTTTAAAAAACAATAAATACGAGCAAACAAAAAAAGCAACGAGGTGTTTCCCCTGAATTGTACTAGTGTTGGTGGGACAACGCTCGCTGTCACCGGATGCTTTTCTCCACCAGCAGCCAACGCAGATAATTGCGCATCCGCTGACCGTTCCAGCACACTCCTCTCTTTGGGGGGCTGCACACGTTCAGAGGGAAAAGAAACTGCGTTCAGCATCTCCCTTTGCACGTCAGAGAAGGCAGCAGCTGCAGAGCTGCGCACGCCAAGTGCGGGACGTGGCTCCTCCTGCACCACGGTGTACAGCAGCCTCCTCAACCCGGTCAGGGCTTCGGTCCTCAGAGAAGATATTCACACTTAAATCCAAATCCTTGGCCCACAGGTACAGCTGCTGGCCTAGCCAAGGACAGCTCGACACCTCTGAGAGAAGGGCGAGATACAACCTCACAGGACCTGCTGATCCCTTGCAACCCCCTAAACAGACATCAGGATGTGCTGGAAGGAACACAATTTAGGGAAGAAAACTACGTAATTCTGAGTCCTTGTCCTAGTTGCACCACTTGTTTGCTGTACTTCTCTCTGATGCACGATTCAATCTCTGCCCCCATATTCAAGTATCACCTCTGTTACCTTCCAGCCTCCCTGTAAAGGCTGGGGAATGGGATTTGTGAAGCAGTGAAGCACCAGATAATACTAAGCACTGGCACTTCCTCAGAAACACCAGCCAACAAGGGTCTGGGAAAGACTCAAGGTGTTTTTAACCCAACTTCCATAGCAACCAGAAGCATTAAAGCAAAATAACAGTGGGCCAGGGGCTTCGAATTCTCTTTTTCAATCTTACCTTAACTTCACAGGAATACTCTTAGAGGTAGCTGGTAGCATTGCTCTCATAAGCAGCTTGAGTATCTGTCAGAATATGATTGCAGCAACTTCATATAGAAACTGGTATACTCGTCTCTCTATTTCTTCCCTTTTGTGTCACTCCATACAGAAACCTGTCTTGAACATGAGCTGGAAATTAATCACCCACCAAGAAACCACCGAAGAGCAAAGCACGGTAAACCTACGAGGGGCTTTTGATACTCACTCAGCCTAGAGCATATTTGGGACTGCAAATAAACTCCTCTCAGCTTGGATCCTCACTGCCAGTACAGAAGCTGTGACTCCAACCTCTCCTGAGGACCATAACAGGGAAGGCAGAGAGGCTGATGGTTAATAAATCTCTTGCTGTTACACCTAACACATGGAATATGTCCTCGTTTCCCCAGAACTACCACATACCTGACTGTTCACTTGTTCAAGCCTCACCAGCCAGTTAGGAAGATACATGGCAGCACTAGATGAATTCTTTTCATTTTATCTTCACCATGGTGAAGAAGATGGACTTCCCTATATTGGAGGTGACCACAAAGGAAAGTGAAGAAAAAAAGTGCAAATTCCGTAATATTATATTGTAGGAACAAAGCCCCAGTCCCGATACAGATCAGCTCTACCTTGAGCTGGGAGTTTGAGAAACAGCCCTTTAAAAAAAATATATTTAATAAAAGGCAGGAGGAGGTAGGGAGGCTGTGTACAGCAGAGGAGACACCCCTGCATCTAGACAAATTCAGTTATCTCCCTTCCAAACTGCGGGCCAGCTCCTGATTTAACCTGGAGTTTCACATATCACGACAACACCCTGAAAGCGTTGGCTTTGCAGCTATGCCAAACATACGAACTGTTTTCAGCGAAGGCAGTATTTTTCCACGTCTACTATTGTAACTCCGTCGGCTGGCTGGGAGTCACAAAGCCTCTGTTACCTCCCTCCTCTCCGAGAGCATCTCTCTGTTTAAGCACCGGCTAACTGAGATCATCCTGCACGATTCCCCTTGGAAACTGGGCAAAGAGGGGGGTGGGAGAGTTGCTGGGGTTGTAAGCAACAAACCACAGGAGGAGATGAGACTGTTGTGCAGAAGGGAAGCAGCAGGGGGAAAGAGGTGACTAATGAACAGAAGGGGGTGCGTAAAATCCTACTTGGATTGCCTCTCTGGGGAACAGCTGTTTCCTTGTAAACATCTTGCTAGCTGTCCAAACAAGAAGTTCAGGCACAGAACAATAAAGGAGAGCACCCGGGTAGGACCGTTTCAAGGCATGGGCTCATTCACTCTCCTGCCAATTGCTCCAAGTGGCAGAAGGAAACATCAGCCATACGTTTAACCCTACATGTGCTGGTGTTACAGCCAATGGCCTGCAGAAACACAGCCTTCTCTATCCGTGGGGAAGTCCTTCCCAGCTATCCTTTCCCCTGCCCTTGCTGTTTGTGACACAACAGCAGAGCACATTACTTGACAAAGGCAAAGAGGAAACAGCCTCATCGCAACAAGGCAAAACTGTTGCAGAGCCAAGAAATGAAAAACCTAAACGTGGCAGCCCTGAAGGCCCAACTAAGTCCTACTGCTGCCCTGGCACCAGCAACTTGGAAGCAGAGGGAGTTGCACCAGAAAAAAAAGTTTAAAAGAGTCTTTTTATTAGTCCTGAGCGCAAAACAGCCTACACTGGCAGCAGCATTTCTATGCCAGTACAACTGTGTCCACACAGGACTCTTGCCAGCACTGCAAGGTAGCTGTGGACAGGGCAAGGAATACTCGTAGGACCGCGCCAGTAAACACTCCAAGGGCAGCTGGGCCAGCAGAGGCAACTACCTGCACTGCTCAACAGCGAGCAGAGACTGCGCGGTGCCTTTGTCCTCCTGGGGATCAAACGTACACATTCTATAGACCCCGTCTACAAAATGCAACAGAGCTGTTCAAGGAGGGCACACATCTCCAGGAAAGGAGGGGTCACTCTGCGAGGAAGGCGACGTGAACGACACGGTAACTGCCGGTAAGGGAACCCGATGTCCTGAGCCTCCGGTCCAGTTATCTACACCTCCGCGCCCACCTCCGCATTGACTCATCTTGATATTTAAACATTCTAGACAATGCAAACCACGCATCCTGGGAAACCAAATGCCTCCTACTTTTACTCCAAACGACCCACGGAAGCAGGAATACGGTAAGCACAATGACACTCTCCTAGTCAACAACAACTCCACATTTTAGAAACAGTCCACAGGTTCACAGGAAAGACCTGGAGCAGTCAGATTTATTTTACCTTTTTATTTCTTTAGGGCCATTTTGTTGTAGGCGTGCACAAAGAGCCAGGAAAAAAAAGACACGCTAGCAATGGCGGCTCAAGAATAAACATTCTGTCATTAAAAGATGGGAAGAGTGCAAGTTCTGCTGATCAAAATCCCTCTGAGTCTAAAGAAAGGCAGCTGGCTCGTTGCATCAAAGTCCAAACCAATCGGGGACTCCACCTCGTCTGGGGTCACCTTGCTGCCTCTGCTTCTCTCTCTCCATATATTTACTCCTGAAGTCATCAAAAGAGCGAGTTTCTGCGTCTTGTTCTTTCTCTGGAAAGAGGTTGGGAAACTGAAAGGTTTGTCCTTGGCCCTGAAGAGAAAACAAATGGTCAGAGAGACATTCCAGCCTTCCTGCAGCAGCTATGATGCATATACTGACAACGAAAGACCACCCTGAAGTTTCAGCTAGCGCGAAACTGTACCTCTTAACCTCCCGAGATCCCTTTCCGCCCCTCTCCCCAAGATACACATACATCCCTCCCCCATCAAAAAAAGCCAACTTTCAGCCTCTTCTGCATGCTAATTAAGACAACAACACCCTTTTTTCTTTTTTTTTTTTACGGGTCAGGAGATGGACACCTCTACCAAGGCTTTGAACCAGGTCAGAGATGTTGTATGAGTCATGCAGTAAAAGTAAGATGAGTGATTCTGTTCGAATAACACCACAGGGGAAACCCACGGTGGAGCAGGCGTTCATTCTGTTAACACTCAGGATATGAGTAGCGGTTATAGTCGTTTAGGTCTCAGCTAAGGATAAGAGAGAACAGTCCCAGCAGCTGTTATTGTAGGGTGTAATGTAGGAATACAGAACAACAGATTATCAAAGGTCTCTTATCAACAGGAATAAAGACTACAGTGTAAAACAATTACAGTGGGAACAATCTGTCTAACACGCTACTAACGAGATTAAAGTGATTACATGTGCATCAGTCATTCTGCCTAACAGACAAGTCATTTGAGTGAAACATCATCATCAGATCTGTGTCTCCCACTTGGAAAATAAACATTTGCTTGGTCTCTGGTTTTTATCTAACAGCAGGAAACCATTATTCTGTGGAAACGTTCTATCCCATTAACATTACCAACTTTTTAGGGGTGTTTGCACTAAACACAACTTCATTAAACTCAACGATATCAGCCCTTCCATTCTGTTTGAGGCTTTGCATAATAAAACCCATAACTGATAGCTTGTAACTCTTAAAACTACTCTCTGAAATACTTACAAACACTACCATACATTAATTCCTTTGGTGGAATACAACATACAGAAATGTCAACAATAGCTTTTAATTGCTTCAGATGAAAACAGGGTTTTCTTACAGATCAACTATTCTTTACATTTTTGCAATAAAAACAATCAAACAAGAGGCTCAGTTATGAAACAGTTCCACAAAGGACATGAAAGGAGCTTTCCACAACACGGCTACCTGTACTACAGTCTGGGATCAGAAACACGACATAATGAAATCCAAAACCAAAACCCCTGTCGCCGTGTCCCCGACCCAGCTGACCGTGTGCTACATTTCATTCAGCCATACATACTCAACCTGGCAATTTGCAGGTGTGAAAGAATTTAAACCTCAAGCATACACTTTGGAAAGAAAAAAAACCAAACCAAAACAAAACACATGACTTATCCTAGTTGAGCTTATCCAGACTAGGATCTAGGAAATATCAACTCATACCCAGCAATGCTCTGGTTGTTTTCGTAGTGCATATTTCTTGGGGGTTTCCTAAAAGGCTGACCATACTACAAAAACAACAAGGGAGCTGCTGTGTACATTGCTCTTGCCTTGATTCAAGCCTGGATAAGATCAAGTGGAACAAATCAAGGTTTTCCTTTCCACTCTGGGGTTTCAACTCCTTTGTACCTTGAAATTACCAACAGGTCTGCTTGTAATCGCTGTCCTAAGACAAGGAAAGCACAGTCCCACTGCGAGGCACAGAGACCAGCCTCAGCGACGTCCTTGAGCAAGCCCAAAGCTGGAAACCCTTCCCGTAGCAGGATCAGCACCCTCGAGGCCAAGCGCTAAAATCTTTTAGCACACTGAAGCATTTGGAAAAGAATTTGATTTACGGAAAAATAAAAACTACCACTCCCTGATGTCGACGCGTCGCGGGCGGGTTGCTCAGCCCCGTGGTACCTACAAGAAGCAACAGGATCGATCCTAAAGGCCTCGTTGTCCTGCCCTGGAGAGGAATCTATTTTAGTGAAACAAGTCAGAAAACAAATTGGGGCTGACACGGTAGGCATACCACCTACACTGAAAATTTGAGAACTATTTATGTTGGTAACGGCGTAGTAAGGGACTGCTCTTGTTATGCAGCACTTCCATTCTGGTATGCTTCCAAGGAGCAAGGCACTTCCCTTACTGGAGAAAGAAGGGAAGCTGTCCCTAAAGCATACTAACAACAGCCATGGTAATTCACTAAGCATTGCAAAACAGTTATTATTTTTAAAAGAGTGAGGAAAAAAATAATAATAATAAAAAAAAAAGATACGCAGAGGCCGTAGCAAAACCCAACAAACCTTTCGGCTGTTTATCGAAGCGCTCGCAGTTCCCATTTCGAGATGGGTGAAAGTCAAATATCGAGATGAAAAATGTCAATCTGTATCTGGAGCCTTTTAATAAATCAAAACCAGCACAGACAAGTTGGCTCTTTCTAGCTCTTGTTTTGTGAAGAAATTCTGATTTTGGCTGGCAGCCAGACACGATTCGAAACAGCCAAGACATTACACCCTGAGAACTGAAGGTTGATAAATCTGAAGTAACAATACCATGCAGTAATACTGCCCTGTAAGACTCTGGAGCGATGAAAGCTGCATGAAAAATAGCAGTCGTGCATGCTCAGTAGCTAGTTTTCAGAAGAAGCCTGCATCCTGGGTATTTCAAAATTTCAAAAATACCAAGGGCATCAACTTACATAAAGTATTGTGAGGCTGTCCAGGCATATTTACATTCAGTGCATCTTCCACACGATGCCAGAGGCTACTGAGGTTCAAGCTCCTGTGCCACCTCCTCAAAACAATGCCCACCAGAACAACGGAGGAATCAGGACTCTTTTACATGGTGCTGCTTTTTTTTGCACAGCTTCTTTTACAGAGTTTTCCATTCTATACTGCAACCCTCCGGATGCAATCCTGACCAAAATAAACAACTACATTTTTACCAAGTTCATCAGGGTTTTATCTGGTTTGCAAACTGCTGGAACAACCAGAAATGTTTTTGTCAATTTGAGGTGGAATTTGTCAGAAAAAGCTCTTCTACCACAGAAGAAAAAACCCAAACAAACCAGGTCAGAGCGGTGGCATTGAATCATCTAAAAAAATAAAAGCAACGCGATGATTTTTCCACATTGCTCTTCTCAGTTTAGGGTCCTCCCAGAGACTTCCCTTTTTCCTACAAATTCCAAGGTTAGGTACAAGTGAGATGGGTGGCCCAGTGTTCAGGTAACAGAAAAGGGAGCCATTAAACTTCTACTCCTGCACAACCTTAATCCCTGCTTCAACATTACCCGAATGTAAAACTGCTTTATGTTACGAGGCCTTACGAGGAGGAGTCTTATGTTACATGCTAACATCCTTCAGGGCAGACAGTGACCTAAGCTTTAAACGTGTATTTTCCCTTTAGATTTCAAGACTTTGTTGACAAGAGTGAAAATACACCTTGCTCTCTGGGTCTGTAGAAGTTCTCACACAGAGAGGTACAAATTCCTTCCATTCATTTTAATGAGGTTAAGTGACCATAATTAGGCTTCCGAAGTCAAGTGTTGGCCTTGCCACTGCTGAGCCTCATGTCAGAAATTTCTAGATTATCTGGCACAAACTCTCCTTCTTGTACTTCTCTGACCTTTGCGTCCCTTGAAACGTTTAGGAATGGAAGGTCAGCACAGATATGATTGTGTAGGAATGACGCAGCAAACACTGCTCATGTAAACAACTGTGAGATCTTCTGATTATTTAGATAACTGAAGCACTTACTACTGTCCTTCAGAATTAGGGGGGAAAAAAAAAGCCATGTTTATAGTGTCGTGAACTAAAAAAAATGTTGGACTCCCCAACAGCACGGGATTCAGTCCAGCAGTAGCAGCAAATGCAGCTACATTTAATAACATTTGAATGCTTCTCCCACTGCAGTGGTAACATCCGATGTTAAAACGTGTGGCAAAACAGCCCAGAAAGCAACTTCAAAAACCCCCGCAGGAATGACACAGCGCACGGAGCATCCAAATTTCCTCTGAACTCACCAGGTGTCAAAAAAAACCCCGTTTGCACATGTGCAAAGGGGTTAATGACTACGAACATATCAGACACTCTAAAGAGGTTGGTTTGAGGAGAAAGCATTTGCAAACAACGTTCCCACCTGTGCCACCGTTCCTGCAGCTGAAGAGGTGTTAGTTCTGATGTTGACAAGGTCAGACTTCTTTTTACAGCCATCTCCATGAGATTTCTCCAAACAGGTTTAATTAAAAATAGGTCTGGATTCCAGAGGCTCGTCTGCAGTTGTGCTCCCACAGGTGCCAACACCTGTTGAGCTACACCAGCAAGAACATCGAAGGAGGAGGAGGAGGAGATGTTGGGTTTTTTTAATTTCCCTGATGTTGATGCAACTGTAAATTTTCCCACTGGCTTTCTTTTCTTTTTTCTTTTCTTTTCTTTTTTTTTTAATTAACACTAGGATAGTTATAACCGTAGTGGAATAAGGAGAAAGGCTGCTGTATTACATTCATTTTATCTAGTCCAAAAAGATATATAGCTTTGGTTTTAATTAAAAAAATATACCTGTGTAAAAGAGTAGCAACTGATACCCAAGGCCTTAAGTCTCTAACTTAAACCCTTCTCACCACATTCCAAAACGAGGGGAAAAAAAAAGACAGGCAAGCAGGCTCTGGAATGGCAAGATATTGTTGATCCACAACCTTCTATGATTTGAGGGGGTTTTTTTTTTAGTGTGAAAATATTATGCTTGGACAGAGCACGTATTTGTCCAGTTACAGCCTGAGAATAAAGTAAACAGCCCTGAATCTCTAAGAAATAGTATTTGGAGAAGAAAGGACAACAACTCTTACATGTGGAACAGCTGGGGCACTAAAGTGACACCTAAGGGTGCGTTGACTATGACTTCATGCACCTTCCACCTCGGAGACACTTGCAAAGAGTTAACGGGTCCATGTGTCGCGCTGGGACACAGAAGGTGATGTTTTATGAAGCAGGGAAGCAAAACCGGTCACAGGAATATATTCATTCAGGTAAACCGCACCACAGCTGCTGGCAAGGCAGGCTGGAAAGAGCAATACTTCCACCTAGTGGGTAATAAAGAGATCAGCCCAAGACCTTCCAGAAACACATCCTTTTTTTTCCAGTCATAAGCAGTTTTAACTTGAAACTGGATTAATGAGAGAAAACACAGCTGGTAAAAATGGTGGGAAAGCCCAGCTACTCTGACTCACGGCAGATGCGAGCTAATTCTCCTCAAAATAAGGATTTTACAGCGGTTACCAAAGATTTTCCTATATTAGGCAGATATTAACAATGGACTGCATGGGGCCTGTTACGGCCTGAATCACACTATGAATGAGAATGAAGGCAAAACCTTCCGTTTCAGAAATGACACTGGATTTCTGGCCTCACCCACTGTTTAAAGCTGGTGTGAACACAGAACTGGGAGCTCATTGTCTGAGACATCACAGCTAGTGATGAAAAGCAAAGAACAAAAGAGGAAAAAAAAAAAAGGCAGACAAACCTAAATGTTAAAGGAATTAACAAGACACCAACAACAGAAAAAACAAAAAAGAATAATAAAAAAGAGCAGAGAGACCAGGAATGAGGTGAGGGGAAAAAGCACAGACCAAGCTTTGCCGACATGAGTATAGTAAAAGGTCAGGATTCCCTCACTCAACGTGAAAATCAACGCCAAAATGTGGTCCCCCTGATCCCTTTCACAGCACAGACAGAAAGCACGGCACTCTTCAAAAACTTAAAATGATACCGTACCAAGCTACTCCAAGTAACCTTCCACCGTGGAGCTAGTCTTAAGGTAACGGCACCTACTCTAGGTTGAAGGGTTTGATGTGAAATAAATGCATGAAACAAGCGGCTTGCTCCACGGAGCAGCAACATTTTGCTCTCCACTCTTCCCCTCTCAGTAGAAAAAGATTGCATTAAATACAGTGAAATAAAATTCAGAACTGGCCACAGTTCGCTAAAGATCCATGTCCGTATTAATCTTGGGAAATAAGTTTCTCAAAGCAAAGAACTCACTAACAAGAGGCTGTGACGACGGAAATCGCTGGCAACTACCTACTAAGGAACACAACTCGGAGAAAACAACTTGTAAGATACGACATCGCTCCTGGTACTCAGTTTTTCAGCTGTGTTCTTAATGGTATCGTTCACACCTGATCTCTCGCAGACAAAAAACTCAGCGAGGGAGGATTTGCTCATCAAAGCAGGCTCCTCCTTGAAAAAGCAATGTGGTACTCTTCCATCAGACTGGAAGATTCTCATGGAGATGAGGCTGCCTTTAACTTCAGCACAGTAAATCAAGGCTAGTCCTCATCTAAATAAAACTCCGCTACTTTCTATTAACACTGCACTTCATACTACCCAGCTAAAGGTGAGCGCTGTCTAGAGAAACACGTTCTCTCCACTTTTCTTTCCACTCCTCTTCCAAGAAGGAACTTGGAGAAAAACTTCTAACTGCATTGAAACTTTGAAAAACTAATTCTGAACCATCAGATTCCCCATTGTGTGCACCTCTTTCGTTTGAACCCGAGCCCATACGAAGTCTTACGCAGCCTTTAAGATCACACGGTGTTCCCGCCACACTGAACCCTTGTCCCAGGGATGGAGTAATGCTGAGGTTGTGCTGCCAACAGCAATTTTGAGCTTATGGTTTTACAACCATAAATAGCATTCCTTTAATGTCATTTTGGTATGTGAAGGGGCTTTCTGTCACTGGTAGCTTTTCTTTTTTACATAGAGACAGGTAAGCCCAAGAGAAGTCGAAGCCATAATACACTCCTGTTACGAAAGAAATTTGTGAGAGCATGAAGCTCCTTTTCCACTGGGCAACCAACATACATTTCAGAACTTGGTTAAGCCACAAAGCACGCTTGTTGGACATGACTAAGAACTCTCCAAGGAATATGCCTTAGTCTTCTCTGAAATCCAAAAAGCTTTAATAAGAAGTTCCCTCCCCTTACAATATATTCTTTCACTTACTGGACATTTCATTAATCAACCACACAAGTCACAAATCTTCCAGCACACAAAGTACAGGGTCAGCACGAAACTCGCTGGCAAAGTAGCCCCATATGACATCAGACCATAACTTCCACACAGGCCTCCAACAAACACGGGACTTGGAAGCTTACCACTTGTTTGATTTTTAGACCAAGGCATTTAAATCCCTTTACACAGCCTGGAATGCACTAACGAAAATGTCATCACTTGAGGACAGGGAGAAATATTCACCCAGCTGGACAATTCACTCTAGTTTCACGGGTTAACGGTTCCTTCCTCCTGCCCCACCAGCAGCCCCGTTCACTCACCAGCTGTACGTAGGCGACCTTGTAATCAGGCTTCTTCACTCTCTGGTTCTTGTGATTCCTCTTGTTGTTTGCACCTGCAGAAATTGAAGAGAGTCTCACCTTTTAATTCCCAGGACTTCCAATTTCCCCAAAGCAAGGCCACCCTGCAGAGGAAACTTCACTAGTTCTGGTAGATTAAGAGGAATATTCTTTCTTCAGTACCAGCAGAGCATCCCTAGCACTTGAGTGATTTTAATCAGTAGGTGAGAACTAAGGCATCACCAGACTCAGGCTGCTGACAGCCACACGGAGTCTGCAAAGAAGCAAGGGGGTAAGTCTCCTGAGCAGGGGGCCAGGAATGATAAACAGTCCTCCCAACATCAACAGCTTCAGGAAGTTGAAGAGGAAACGACAACTAAATAGCTTCGACTGTGTCGATTCTTACCACCCAGCTAATGAGCTGGAGGTACTGCAGTCCACAGGGAAATTACAAGCCACGGCCAAAAAAAAAACCATCCACCTCAACCTTCTAAAAGCGCGCTGGTCATAGCTGAGTGGGAAGTTCAATTTGTTCCCTGCATGTCACACAGACACTAAAGCTCTCAAATTATCAGACATTCTAACTCCACTTCTTTTATTCTTGAACATATACACTCTATACTGTTACTTCCATTAGCAGTGGGGGACAAAACAGCTGTAAGGACAAGCATAAATATTTTTCTGCGCTGCTTGGAACTGCATGTCTTTGGTAGTGAATAATTTATTTAATAGTTTTTCACGTAAGCATTTACCAACGATCTTTCTGTTGGCTTTCTCTCTATGTTTTGAGGTTTACAACCTTATTTTAAATTTTTTTCTTTCATTCTCCCAATTATTACTGTTACAGCTGTTTTCTCCCATCCCTGTTTCAAAATCATCCCTACTCTTCCCATTATAAACACATCACTCGATTCCTTTGCTAGAGTCACTGCACGAAAAAATAAAAACCCAGCCACCGACAATGTCCTCACCAACAAGCCACTCTCTGATTAATGCACTCTCTGGTGATCAAAAAGGTAAATAAAATGAAAATTCTATTCCTGGCTTTGCACTGCATCCAAACTGCAGTCAGAGAAGCTGTGGGGAAGGAAGCACTCATATGTAAAGGTGACATTATATATATATATATTTACCTTTTTTCAGTTTGAGATGGGTCCCTCTACCCCAAGTCAGACTCCAGCATAACTTAAATGAGGAACTTGTTTTCATCTTGGGTTTTATGGGTTGGTTTTGACAGTTTGGTTTTGGTTTTGTTTGTTTGTAGGGATGGCACAGGGGAGAAACACCATGGGTAAAAGCATATGAGTCTGCAGCAGAAGTGTGGTAATGACAGGTGATGAAAAAATTTAAAGTTTGTCAAGATATTGACATTATCTGCTGGTCTAATAGAATGTACTTTTGTTGTACAAATTTTGCCTTTTGTTGGACAATAACACCTCCTCTGTGTGCACGCCAGGTAATCTCAACTCACCTTTTTTTTTAAAAAGGCTATGGCTCAAAGTTTAATGACTAATTTTATTAAAAGACATGAAGCAGTTCCTTCTCAAGTGAGACACCCACTGGTCTTCAAGTAGAAAGAGTACCAGCTACAAAAGCATGTAGCGCAAGCTAGGCAACCGTCAAGATGATTTTTCTCATTTTTCTTTTATAAAACTAAATTTTTTGCCAAAAATCTACTCAGCTCATTCAGATACAAAGCGCTGTGTATTCATCTGAAGTGACAAATAAACAAGTAAGCTGACAGACATCACCAGCTAAGCACTTGGAGCCAAACACTGTCAAAAACTAATGGACTTTTTGACAGGAAAAGTCTCCTCTGGCTGTGCAGGGGTGCTGTAATCATCCCTTTGGACTACTCAGCTGCACTCACCATACTGTATCCTGGTCCTCACAGCTGCTACCGGCACATTGTAGATTTTTTCGAGGTAATTCTTGATATCCAGTTTTGTCATTCTAGGCAATGCAAAAACAATTGGGGGAAAGAAAGAAGGAAACATATAAATACTTAAATAAAATAAAACAGAGACAGTGTAGTTATAGACTGGTTGATACTCTGGAGTAACTGTCTTCTTTTAACCAAAGTAACTCCTACAAAAGAGTATAAATCCAATGTAGCTGCTACTGCAATTCGTTATCCATGTGCTGGGACAATGACAAATATTTTATCTTCTGTAACCTCAACAGCCAAAACCCCAGATATATTCTGTATTCAGCAAGAGCAGGCCAGCTGTCTCACTGCCTGAGCAAAGAACCCTCCTCTGAAGAGAAGTTTCTCATGTTTTCAGGGCCTGCCACGGCCTGACAAACACCCCGACACCCCCTTGTTTCCTCTGCATCACCTTCACAAGCACTTTATTCCTCCTCAGCCCGCCCCTGGGGAGGCTGAGCCTCAGCAGAGGCAACAAGCAAAGCTCCTGCTTCAAGCAGCGCCCTCTAAACGGTCTCTTGGATGCGGAACCCCCCTTCCCCAGCCCAAAGG